TGGAGAGGGTGAAGCTGGGCTGCTCATTGGAGTCAAGGATTCTGATGCTTTGTCTGACATACTTTGGACATGTTGCAAGGCAATTTCAGTCCTTGGAGAGGGATCTCATGTTTGGGAGGGTAGAGGGAAAGCACATGAGAGGATGACCCTTGATGAGATGAATTGATTCAGTCACTGGGGTAATGGGGATAGGTGTATTGGAGACAGTAACATTGGCAGGCGTTAGAGCAGGGTTTAGGGGCGTTGTACATAGGGTGATTATGAGTTACAGGCAACTCAGTGGCACATAACAACAACAACAATCTGCTTGGAGTTCACTGTACTTCTTGAATGCATCTCTTCTTTATTTTTCATGATACTTGGAAGGTTTTTTCCTAGTATCTCTTCCACAACTTCCCCAGTGCTTCCTCCTTCCCTCCTGTTCTGGAATTCTAATCACGTGTGCTTTTTCATTGGATATGATGCCACATGATTCCTGTTTTGTGCATTTTCCTTTCATGTTCTCTTTACTTTTTATTCTTGGAGTTTCTTTTTAAAATAAATTTTTATTTTATACTGATTTGCTTAAAAAATTCATATACACTTATTTTCACACTATCTTCATTCACACTCTGCTTCATACAATATTCTTGTAGTTTCTTAGTGAGGAACTTGTCTTCTGTCTCACTGACTCTCTCTTCCCCTTCTTCAAACCTGTGTTTTTGTCCCTCTCATACGTTGAAAATTTTTGTACTGTTGATTTTGTTATTCTGAATTGTATGCTCATGCTTTTCTATTGCTTCTAGAATTCTGTTGGTTGTACTCTCTTTGTCTGTCTTGTAATGACTTTTAAAATCGTGTACCCTTTATTCATAGCTTCAACTCTTTCTTCCATCATTTAGTGTGCACTAATTCTTGACATTTCAAGTTGGCATATTTTTTCTGCTTTCCTGTCTGTGGGATATTCACAAGATTGATGATATGTTTTAGTTTTTTAAGGAGAGACTTGTTTTGCTTTTTCATAGTGTTGATTACTTAACTGTTACTTCTTTGACATTATGTGGGGTTCTTCTTGGTATGTGTGAGACAGCTGTTGTGTTTCTGTTGTTAGTTGCCTGCTCCTTATCTTTCTGATGTGCATTGGTGAAGGATCACTCAGGTGTCCACCTTTGGGTAGATAGGGATAACACAATCCTTTTCTCAATTCTCCAATTTTTT